AAAACGCTGGTAGGGAACTGGTGTGGCCCTGGTTCGGGGCTCATGACATAACTTTACCAGCTGGTATCTCTCGGAAATCAGCAAATAATTTTTGGTTAGAGGCAAGGGGAAATTTGCGCTCGTTATCGCTCTCYTGGCTGCGAGTTATTGCAAGTGATTCAACCCCGACGTCAAAATTATTCGGAAGAGCGAGCAAAACAAGTTTATTAGTTACTTACTAGCGCTTCCCTCTCAAAGAAAAACCTTTTTATCTTTTTTCGCCGACACAACCACCCAACATCAACCGGTTCGCACATTCACAGTTTGTTTACCCGCAATTCTTTTCACCGTTGTCTTACCTCTGCCCACTGTCCTTCTAGTTTAGGGTGGATCCATTCGTCCTGCCCAAATCCTTCAAATCTTGACAGCATGAAATACAAACATGCCACCCAATGAATAATGAGAACCAAGTACAGTATCAGCTTCAACAGATTAAACAACTTTGGACGACCACTGTAAATTTCTCCTCGATCGCAAAACAAGAAGAAACGGCGCATTTTCAACAGTCTGTTGACGCGGAGGATTGGGTACAAGCCGATTATGAAGTATAATAGATCAAAAGGGATGACAGCGAGCATGTCCAGGAGAAAACCCACTGACGTTACGTAGTTTATGGCTAGTTTTCGGCTTCGACGTTCCAAGATACCATGCTGCAAGAAACCTGTTCTAAACTGTAGGATGATGTCTAGAACGAAGATGGAGTCAAAGGCGTAGTCGATTCCAAAACATACCTAAGAGTAAGCATGATGGAGATTTAATTTAAGGAATTGATAATGATCAAAAATAATGATAATACATTATATTAACGCAAAAAAAAGCGGGAAAAGAAGACGGTTAAAAATGAGGGGATTTTTCCAGATCGCGTGAAAGGAGAGAAAGACAGCCAACCAGAGTGCATTTGGGTTGACTTCGTTAATGATAATTCGTCTAATCTGACAGTGATTGTTACTATTATTATCATGTATATTATATCTAAGTGTAAATTATTGTGATTCAACTGGTCATTCTACCTGAGGAAGATCGGTGTAATCGATCGAAACGTCGTGAATCGTTTCAACTTTGGTCCAGTATTTGACTTATCACCTTATTTAATCATTTATATTACTTTAATAATCTACCTTTGTGTTCTGTGTGTAGAGRGAGGAAAATGCCACGTATAATATAATGGCGCAGTAATTGTACATCACACCTAACGACACTATGACAAGCCACCAGAAGTACAGTTTACCAGACGGCTCCAGAACAAACGGCATACAGCATTCTCTTTGATAGTCAGCGGTGTTTTCATTAGAGTCATGCTCTTCGTCATGYCATAACTCTGTTGCATTCTGGTCATTGCAAGGACTTTCTGGTTGTGGTGATGGAGACGGTGACTTGCGCATTAGTGGCCTGCGCCATTCGCGTTCCTCATTGGCTCTGAGACAAAAGGACGAAATAAAAGCATTATTWAAAGGTAGAATAAGACAATAAGAAACCAAATGTCTCTTGCCTATATGAATAGATTAAAACKGGTTCTGTTGCGGCTTTAAAGKTGATCTGTTGCCGCTTCGAATTAATGATCTGATACGAATCCATTCAGCTTCAATATCTTGTTAATCTTTCATTTGGTGCATGGCGGTATATGAAAATCTGGTTAAGCATCTACTTATTTTCTATAAACAAAACGCCATGCAGGATTTAGTCTTTCCGTTCCAACTTAATCTAATGCAATATTGTAATTTTTCATTTCTAACTACTAGCGGAAAAATTCAAGGTCTTTGTAAAGCTGTTTTCCTTGAGGTAAAACTTTAAATCTCTCTGTGTGGGAATCGTCCCATTTTAAAGATCCATCGTCCTCTTTTCGAGCTAAAGTGTGAAATCACCGTTATTAAAACCGCTTAGATATCAAAGACATGCAAACTGTACCAAAAGATAAACAAAACCAAACACAACTCGTTTAGATAACGCCATTATGGGTGATATTGAAAGGAAGCTTTCGGGTCTTATTGGTACGATCATCTAAGAAGCCGCCAAAATCTACAGTATTCATAATATAATCGTTTTCAAAATGTTTTCATAGATTTAAATGTCCATATGCTCTTAATTTAATAATTTAGAAGAATCTTTATATGCTTGTGAGTAGAACTGCATTTATGCTTGAGTGCCTATTAAGGAATTTTGGCCCAGCCCCCAGGCCTCCACTGTCAGGTCATTATGCTCCAGAATGTTAAAATCAAATACAAACTAGACAGAAATGAGTGRTATATGACATTATATGACATTGTATTACTATCAAAAAGTCATAGCAATTCAATGGATGTCTTCCTAAAAAAAGTAATTTTGTTTTGATGGCCTTATTTGAGTCGCTTTCTCTTCAAAAAAATACCCACGATTTTGATTTACTCTTTACCTGTAGAATATTGAAAATTGTGAATTTATCTACCTACACTCTATAGTGAGGCGACATCAAACGGTAGTAAAATCCTGTTTAATGTTTTCTTTCCTTTAGGTGCCCATGAAAAGATACAATGTTCACATTAAGGGGGAGGAAGTCRASTGGTTTCCCGTCRATTTACGACATACCTGTGATATGCGTACTTCTGAAGCCACGATTCACGTGATTTGCGTACTGACTTGGTGTAGAAGCGCTGCATCGATAACACTTTRACAACTGAACTYGCAAAACCGCTCGAGTCTTCAGAATCCTCGATGATAACCTTAGGGACTTCAACGATTTCCTCGCTCTTCCGGCCATTCTGCAAGGGCTTACTTGCTTTATTGGGGATTTTGGATTGATTGGTTTCGCTCATCGTGGCTGTCGCTCAAAGGTAAGTGATTGGGTTGGAGGAAACTGTAATTTGTTAGTGAAAAGAAATAAGTCGGTGATAGTTTCCATGACAATAGTTATTTGTATTCATATTCATTGGCTACACTGCTAGCGATATATGATTGTATCATTGGAAATTGTGTTATTAAGTCGATCAATTAAGACTTTTTCTCTAAACTAGCTCAATGAAGTTCTTGTCAAAGACATATTTCGGTCTTATGTTATCGTTCTCATCACTATCATCAAAGTTTTATTATTTATTATTATTATTAGAGTGCATTCAGTAAAAGCGTGGAACACCAATGACTAAACTTACAAATTAACATTTTCATTTGACTTTGCAATGAAAATAACTTTTTACTTAGAAATTGTTGTTATAAAGAACAAAAGAAAACAATAGATTCAGCGTAATACTGAACTATCAGTCTCACTAATCTTTCATGTCCAAATGAAGACGACTGATTAAAAGAAAGCAAGGGAATTAAATGAAATAATACAAAATGATATTACTAGTGTTTCTTACTGTGAGCAGCAGCAGTTGTTACGAGTGTATGGTGTGTATATGAGATAACGTGCCCCGGCTAGATGCTAGTAGAACGAACATTTGTCAGTTTATGGAAGGAAAGCAAAAGAGATAATCTATCTCGTGTTAACCGCAGGCTCTTTGTTCTGTTATTTTAGTATTGCGATTACGTGTGTTATCACTTCGTTTTTTAATAAATCGAAATTTCATCACAAATATATAATTAATGTACAATGAAATTCCGTTAATATTTGTGTTATACTTATGATTATTATCATTATCATTGTTATCATTAGTCTGTAATTATCATTAGTTTATTCACTGCAATCGTTCAAATAGATATTATTATATGGACGTTTTGCACCTTTTCATTATATCGACAAATRGCGCTCTTTCTTTGTGAAAATCGTCTATTCTTCAGTTAAATTCCGTTGTCAGTTTATCGATATGCATTTAGCATTCAGTTTTGAGATTTMTATCTTTGCACGCATTATTATTAAAAGTTCTCATCTTTTTCSATCGTAAAAATCAACTAAATTTTCTAAAAAACTTGCAAAACAAAAACTGATGAAAATGTTAATATTATGATTATGATTGTGATCCAAGTTCTAATGGCTTTTAATTGCCATATTGTACTTTATATACTTATCGCAAATGGTCCAGAGGAAATCATTTCCATAGATACTCATCAATACAAGTTCCTCGTGTGTTTTTTTTAATATACAGCCTTTGGGTATATACTAGATTATGATGGCAATTACACTAGTCGACARCATGTAGRATAACAAATATACACTAAAAGGTRCAGTTCTTCACACRTGYRCAAGGTAAAAGACTTTATTTACTCTTGCTAAATCATTGCATGCGCACAAACACTGGYAATTGTAATTTGYCGGTGTTGATTTACASAAAGATTTAGAAATTAACTTTTGTATAAGTSTGTTATAACACAGCGTGAAGCTATCATTTCGTTTTTATTGCAAACTAATGATCCTTTTTTACGTCTTGATTTCATAAAATTAGTGGAAGTTGTTTTATTTTAGTTGCATGACTTTATTTAAAATATCATAGCAACCYAAGTCAGTGTTTTGACAGACTTGCGCGATAAGATTTTAGGCTATGTTCGGTTTAAACTCTAGTCTTTGTATAATACAAGGAATTACCTATATTCTCTTTTTGGTTTTATGATCAGATTCGGTGTTTTAAAGCTAAGCTTAAACGTAATTTCGACAAGTCAAATAACAAAATTTAAATTTACAGTATGAATAAACGATAATTATGTGTAACAATATATTTCCATATTTTTATATCTTTGCGTTAAGTATATTTCCATATATTTTTTTTGCAAGGTAGGAATTCTTTGGCAAACTAYATTTCCTAAAATGCAATRCTTATTKAAAGAATGAATYAATAAATAAATGGCTGGATAAATCATCAAACGAATAAATAGATAATTTATAATAAACWGACAAATAATACTTGACCAAGGTGTTTATTGATGAAAAAACAGTTTTGAATAAAATATCAGGAAATATTTTGCGCGCACCTTACTTCAGATTATAATTGAGTACTTCTTGTCCAAGTAGTAATCCAAAGCAAAAGTCTTTTTGGGACTTTACCCTATGAGGATACACCAACGATCACTTATAATAACTTTTTTTATCGTCATTATTTTTTCCCAAAGTCAACTTGATTGCAATTTGCTGTAATTGTATATTAAACCTTCCCTTTAGACATCGTTTTTAGCCCCCTTTTGTTGAGTGGTTGCAAACCTCATTTCACTTACTCAACTATTGTAAAGAAAACACTTATATTTATTGTACATTGTGTATTTTAACTTATCAGCCAGGAGTCATTTGGTTGGGATTCATTATTTTGTTTAATTGGCCTTGAATGGGTATTATTGGTTGATCTRTTGCGTATATTTATCTATTTTTTGTACTTCTGTAAACACATTGAATAATCTTTCAGACGGGTCTTTTTGTGATTTTAAAAATTGTCTTGTTTTGTTTATTTTTATGCTAAAAAGTAATTTAATTTTTGCAATTGAGTTTACAAATTCGGAGCGTTACTGAGGGTAATTTTGCTTATCGATGTGGCTGTTTAGTTGTTGAGATGATTTGTTGTAGAAAATACAAAATGTAACTTCATTGCACAACTGCCTCATTGCTGCTTAGGTTTTACAGATCAGTTTTTCATATCCCGAAAGGTAATTAAGCTCAATTTCAATAGAGTAACATTAAACCGTAAAATATTTTTCAGTTTAGTTCGTTGTCTGGTWAAATTAGTATTGAAGTTTAATCTTGAATATTCATGTCTTATTCTGTGGATTCTCAAAAAGGTAAACTCATKAGGTCTCATTTGATTTATTTGATGCATGAAAATTGTGCTTTGAAGTGGRGTTAAAAAATGAATCAGAACYTTACAAGTGCCTTTGACMGSCSGAWWKWTTAATATTACGAATACCTGCTGATTACGGACACTACAGAGTGACGGACGAAATCATTTTATAGGTACCTCTATATTACGGACG